GGAGACGTGGACCAGACTGATCGTCGACGAAAACTAAATCGTGATGGAGGCAGTCTTGCTTGTTGATCTCAGTTCGCGCCAGAAGTTTTCTATTCGCTATCGAGGTGAAACACGACCGAATAAATGCAGAATGTGGTAAACTGAGTGTCCTCAATATCGGTGTTGCACATACAATTCGTGAAGCGAAATAGCCTGTTAGGTAAAACTATCAGTCTGTTCTCACAAGAAAGTAGTGATGTAGGGAGGTTTGAATTGTGTGGGTGCTGTGTTCGTCAAATCGCCGGAAAACAGTAACATTAATAATAAGAGCGTGTCTACAGCAAGTTAAGAATTGGCCGCGGGAACGCCGGTCCAGAGTTCCCGCAAGGTGACCCGGCAACCAAGATCACGGAGTGCAGCTTTGGCCTCATCAGCACAGTCCCGTTTGGCCAAAGCAGTGTTCAAGAGGGATTCCAACTCGTAAGGATCTGATGCTTCCTCCGAGGATTGAGTATAATGGGAAGAACCGGGCGGAAAGTGGGAGCCCATAAATGCCTTCCGTAAGTCTGCTGATCGTGCAACACAGTTGCGAATAGCCATACACACCGCTCTGACAGTAGATGAGTCTGACATATGAAGCTGCAAAGCCTGAAATTGAAGATGTGACAGCAGTTAACCATTTGCATGTGCTATCTACGGCGAGAGTGCACTCTCACCGAGACTTCTCTACGCTACACTACAACGCATTGATGCTATCACCTCGATTGGTGATGAAACGGCAGCAACAAAAATTGTCAAGCTCAGGGAACAGTTAAACCGCAATCTGAACAACATGAGCTGCCAGGTTTCGTTTAGATATCACAAGGAACAAGAGAATATTCCAGTTGTGAGTACGAGGTTGCGAAACGTAGACTGATCCCACTGCAAATCATAGAAACATAGCATTAATTGACCAGAAAAAAAGGAGATGAATGGAAAGCACTATGTGTGGAACAGCGTAGAAACAACGCGTCACCGACAAATCAGAGTGCAGAAACGTACTTTGGCTAAAAACTCTGGCACACCAGCCGCAACGACATGCTCGGCCAAATCAGGTTGACGTAGTGTCATTGCGGCGATCACTGCAGCCGCGCTTTTCACAAGCCCCGTATTGCGAATAAACCGTTCCAATAGCTCCACCAGAATTGTCGGGCCAGTGCATTCTTTCCCGGGTCCCGAAGACCAAGTACCGAGGGCTCGCTTGCAATCGTCCGATCCACAAAGTATGCGCAACAGTTGTAGACATCCGAATACAATAAGCTACGAGGGCAGGGAATAAATTTACGAATTTGAGTACTGCTGATCAAATGTCAAAACAATCGTTTGAGCCATGCAACTGCACCGATTTGGAGAGTACAATCGATAAGTAGCAGCATCGAGGTGGACGCGATGGATGCGAACTTGCATGTTATTAAACAGAAGGTAGTCATCATACCCTTAAACATGAGCAAATGAGTGTCATAGCTCAGACTGCACAGAGGAATGGCTACCCGATAGTATTCGGAACAGTAGCTTTGTGATCAAACAGATGGCTAGGCTGAGCCTGAAGCTTCAGTAATAATAGAAACCATCGGAACCATGTGGTACATGGCCAAACTAGTAAGCTAGTTAGTTGGGAAATACTAATTCGCGACCGGATGGCGTTTAAGTGATGCTGCTACTTGAGGCGACAATGCGGAGTGATCTTGTGGGACTCATCAATTGTAACGCCCGGACCAATTCCTCTTTGAGTTCCAGAGAAACGACTATGTATTTGGATCACGATACTTAGTACAGACCACGGACCAATTTGAACTCAACTTCAACCGCTTTGAAGATTGAGACTGTGCTCGAGATGAATACTTTTCAGGTACTGTTCGTTTCCAAGATCGGTTTCGCGACTGGTTGAAGCGTTCAGATGGAGATAGCCGGAACTGCGAATCGAAATCCCCACATAGAAAGTTGACGGCAGACGTACTAGGTACCCGATATTCGCACTATCACTAAAGCATTCACCGTCGGGTTAGGAGCACACTGTGTATGTTTGAATTGAGATAGGCAGTTCCAATAGGGACCAGGATGTACCGTATATTACCGAATATAAGCCGATGATTTTTGGACAATTTTTTGTTTCTGTAGAGGGGCGATCGGCTTATAAAAAGGCTATATGGAATTTGAAAAGTCCCATACAAAATGCACCCAGGAATTCACTGCCCTTATGTTCTCTTAATACTAGCCGCTAGTGACGGACGATATTCCAGACGGGGATTTGAAGTGCCTATAACTGGACACGTTACTTTTGTGTCGAAATTTGACGTTCGCGGTGGATGAAAGTAGCGAGTCAAAAGCCCTTAAACATTATGTTATGCCAGGTGATCCGTCGTCCCACACTTCTGACCGTGAACTTCGCTCTCACCCACTGCTCTATTATGGTTTATATACATGAGGCCCCCCTCTCACCTTATGCTATATTGTCGGTTGTCTTACCTGTTTCATGTGAAATGACGTCTGATCAACACACTGTCTGGTGCGGTGAAAGTCTGTGCTGACGGCTCTACGTACCACTGTCCGTGATTACGGTCATTACAGTTGACCAATAGTGGAGCAGGTTCCACTTGAACTCATTCAAGTGAGAGCAGGTAGTGATGATGTCAAAATCGTCTTGATTTTTATGGTCGGCTAATACATGGACTTACAACTTTGGACAAATCTGATGTTGCAAATTTATACTGTCGGCTTATCTATGGGCGGGTTTATATTCGGTAATATACGGTACATGAAGTGAACCCCGATTAGGGCAAATGCAAACCTTTACTGAATTTCTCAATATCTTGGAACATATTTGGAACCGATCGGGAAGTCATCCTTTCAGAAAACTTGGTAAACGACCGGTTAATGTATTTATGAATATATGTATTTACTGAATTTCTACACAAAAACTGTGAGTGTCGCGTGGCCATTTAGGAATGTATAATTCCGATAAAATATGAACGACCGAACAAATTACGTGGATGGGGACAAATCGCTAACAGTGAGCCGATAACACGGTTTTGGTTGTAAGAATTAAGTGCGCTTGGTAGAACAGATTGTACCGAAGTAAGCATGGTTCTAGATTGGTGATTATAAAGCAAAATGGAAACGCGTAACTTACAGTGAGGTAAACAGACTCGCAACTAAATAGGGGAGTAATTCCACGTATTCACCTCAAACACTGCGCGCCTGTTCAAGTGCGTACTATGGGCCGCGTTAAAACAAAGCGTCCGGATATATGTGCTATACAAATCAATGTCCATAAACAAAAGGTACATAATAATTGCCAAGGGGAAAACGGAGGAGGCAATCCATCAGTCAATTCACATTCTGAATGCGATCAATAGTGACTTATCTGTCCGACCACGAGGTACTACTTATAAACAGGTAGTACCAAGGTTACATCGGTGAATAAAGCTTTCCCAAGTGATGTGAGCCAAACTTACTGGGGAGTCGCGATGAGTTTGAAGAGTGGACAGCACCAAATTCAGTCCCCCGTGCTGCGTGAATTGCCGGCAGAACTCCTCACGTGTGATGATTGAGGCCAAAGTCGTGAAGGCGTCCATGACGCATTGTTCGTTTGATAGTTCAACAGACGCTGTTTCGAGGGAAGATGGAATGAAGCAAAGCACGCTCAGTAGCATATTGCGTAAAAAACTATGGTAACAGGAAGATGCGAATTGTAAACAAGGTAAGATTCCAGTGCACGCAAGAAAGTGAAGCAGGATGCTTCTTTTAGTCCGGCCGCGTCGATACCATCCACTGGGATAGCTGTTATTAATCAATCAAGGTAAGTACCTGAGGAACTCAGTCTGCGTTCCCTTCGATCATTAGGAAATACATGAACTGGAGGGAAGGCATCTGTGGTGCTATCCTTACTGCAGTTAGAATAAAGTACAGTGCAATAAGCACACCTAAATGATGGTGTTGAAGTAGAAAAACAAAAAACGTCGAACTATAGTCAATGGCTGGAAATATAATGAGCATGGAAATAAACGAAAAAGTAGAGCGTGGGGAGGAAATAGATAATGAATAATTCACCGCTCTCCAACCGAATTCAAAGTCGTTATGATTCGAAGGATAAATAAACGCAAACATGACGCAGAGAAGTGGATGGAATTGAGAGCTCCTTGTAGGATGCGTGACTGATGAAAACATATCAACATCAGAATAGGTTACCTCTAGCCACTTTGATAAGCACCTCGATTGCTGATTTGGTTGAGGCGATATCGCGGGCATTTGCCGAACCCATGCCAAATTCGACCTCCATATCGTCATCCAGAGTGATGGAGCGTAGAAATGCGAACAATTCACGGAGGACAGCACACTTTTCAGACAAGTGTGAAGCATTGCTTGATAGATCAATTTGTGACAACCAACCGATCGTCTCTGATATAATGGCTGTTCCAGTTATCAAAAGTCTGTTAGGCTCGTTCTTTAAACAGGCAGTTCTGAGCACAGAGTAGAAAGCTGAAATCGTCTCAAACGACAAATCGTCGTGCTCTTTCTCGTGTAGGGTTTTAATCAGTAGATTGACCAGTTCTGAAAAGACGACAAAGAAAACGCACCAAATCCATAGTGGGGGAGTTGGCGGAATTAGGGTTTAAAAGAAGAAATTTAAGAATAAATAGTTGAAACAACGTCAGCTTCGTTCAAATTCAGTGGATGAAGTATTGGAGTTAAAGCTAACACTTGGGTTCGAAGAAGTGGTAAATCGCCTATACGTTTTTCGATCTCCAGCACTTTCTCATACGAAGCACCACTGGCTAACCGTTGTGGACAGCACAATGATCCGATTTCAGAAAAACGCAAATCTGCAAGCAACCACTTAATGAAACACCCATATCGATGCACTCCAAATAGGAAAAATTCCCCAAAAAGGAAAAGAGCCACTATGCCGTATGCTAGATTAATGAGTCAAACGCTGGAGCCAGCCACCCTACAACGAAACGTCGTCACAAGTATAAGCATCATGTCAACCGCTCACAAGATCATGACGCCAACAGTCTTCTTTGTTTCTCATGCTAACCAGCAAGGGATTCATCCGGAGTCCAATATTTAAAAGAACCGGATCAGCTTCGGAACTTAGGCCACCGTTCACACTAGATCATTTGGCGCCTGCACAATGCGACAAACCTGTCAACAAGCGGAGATCGCTATGATTTGACACTCCATGCTTCTGGTGATGCCGGATGGATGACTAGTGGCATTCGCGATGTCGTAGCTCCTCTAAGCGGACGAATAGAGTTGTATCGCCTAAAGAGACTTAATGAAAAACGGCATATGTGACGTTTAGGTTCGAGGATAGCGTTTTTACTGTTTTTTGTATGCACCCGCCGGAAGTTGATAAACGAGTAGTTCTCATCGCCAATTCGAAAGATCAACAGCATGGTCATCCGTAGATCGATTAACAGAATTATATCATCAAATCTGAGGTCGTCAATGGAAGGACACACATCGTGAGGATAATAGCGGCAACTTTCTTCAGTTGTCTTCCAATCACAACCTACAGCTAAGAGATACAACTTTCCAACACAAGTGCTCACATTACAGAACATGACACATACGTACTTCGCACCATTAAAATGTAAAGTGCCGTTACAGGGCTGGGCCGAATCATCAGAAATTCTTATTATAATCGAAAACAGCTCAAAATAATCGGTTAATTTATATGAGTAGTTGTATCACTTTTACCGTTCTTTTAACCCAAGAAGTTACTACAAGCGTTTCTAAGGCTCGTGTGCCCTTAAAAGTCATGGGCTTGTATGGAGACGACTGGGTGCAAGCCGGTCGGTTAAGAGGAGGTTTTGCGACCGCCGTGTGTTGACGGCATCAGATAACTGGCCTTGTTTGACCACTGGTAATTGTGAAGTATTGCTCGTGTTTGGTGGAAAAACGGAGTACTAAAAATCGTCGACCTGTGGTTGGCAACAAGCCCTTAGGTGCCCTGTCAGAGTGCAGGTTGAACTAGAATCGCTTCCACTGGCTCAGTTACGAGTTCTGCATACCTGTACACCGATGGCCTCGGTGTGTGTTCGTTGTCTACACTGCTCTTAGTCGGGTGAAACTCTGAGGCGATCAGTCAACGATGTGAGTACGGAGAAACTCACTGAGAAGCTGAATCTGGTGCTAGTTATCTTCATGGATGGGGTCTTCGGGACCGGCAATACCACTGAATGGATACTCCATAGAGGATATGGTGCAGTTATGGAGACAGTAGGGATTTTGCACTCGGTTAGATGGAATCCGTTTTCGTTTATGCTCATAGCAGTCAACTCCAATACGACCACTGAAAGCAGTCGACTTAAAGTGCTTCCTTGCGTTTCTGAACATCAAGCGCATTGCAAACGCATAGGTGGTGAGTTCGACATGCCGAATGACTCCCCTCACCTGCAAAACACGGCAGCTCGGTTTCCTCCATTTATTCCCATGGCTAGACTCAGAGCGTACGGTCCCCAAACGCAAATAAGGCTTGCCGGATATGCTTGCAAAAACACTAGGTACTTCCCCGGCAGTGATCATAAATCGAATGTGTTTTCGTTTATTCCAGTGCCACAAGGTCTCGTTAACATGGCTAAACGTGTTAAATGGTATAGTGAGCGCGCTTACACTGACTAGGAACTATGTGCTTCTTCCATTAAGTTGTCTCCGTTGAACAACTTCCTAACTACTGATTCTCGCATCGTTGCAAATGAATTCTGTAGAAAGAACCAAACCCCTTTGATATGGTCTCTCTGGTCAAGCGTAAACGCGCCATCAATTGAAGATTTACTGACTGACTTCCACCTAAAATCACCGAAAGACCCGAACCTTTCACAATAAGTACAAACGAACAAATGGTCTACCACTGGTTCTACAACGTCAGGCAAGTACCACGCGCTTTGTCATTTAAGCCACATGGTAGAGGGAAGACATGCCCTTTATACAACCAAAACCGAAAGCAGGCTGAACTGATAACACACTGAAATCCTACACTGAATGAAAGAACTGTTATCATGCTTTCTAGTGGCTCTGTCGTCCAGTACCCTAGCTGCATTACAGTGGCCCTGAACTAACACTTCTCTCGGTCATTCAGTGAAACCACTGATTCCTCTTCGTCTGACCAACTCATTTCAATCTCTGACCAGCTTTACAACATGAATGTTCATCCCGAGATATAAAAGAGCAATCGAGATATGTAAAATAATCTAACTACGAAAAACTTGAGGCTCTCTCCTCTATCGCACTGGAACTAGGGAGGCAGATATCCCTTTACTTCTGCTCAATCTATTCTCTCTTTGAATGAAGGATGGAAAAGAACTTGCAAAGTGGCAAACAGTCACTGCTGTAGCACGACACAAAGAGGGATCCAGGCACATTAGGAACTGCCGACCAAGTAGCTGCATTTCTATAGTTTGCAGAATGATTAGGAGATAATTGGTGCAAAAATGACAGAATTTCTGCGGATATGTATCCTGATTATAAACAAAACATGGACTTCCGAAAGCACGCTTACGTATGACACGTCACACCGTTTTTCTCAACAACCTTACGTCCTCCCTAGAGTGTGGAAAATCAGCAGTCGTGATCATCCTGAACATTCAGAGGGTCCGATCGTGTGCCCCACGACGAGCTTATGGATGAAACTGCATCATTTGGAATAAGCGATCTACTATTATCGTGCTTCCGGTTATACCTTTCAAACCTAACCCAAATAGTTGATATACATGATTCACGGACCAGTCTGGTATTAAGTGGCGTAGCTCAGGGCCGCATTTTAGGTGCACCACTATTTTGCTGCACAGTAACGAAATGTTTGACGTAGTACGCTATGAGGTCCCACACACGTTCACCGGTGACATGAATTACCTGCACTTTTATTTTACTGACGCGAACACCATCATATGATTTGAAAGACCTAGTGCTTTGGTGCATTTAATTGGAATATATCATTCTCAGTCGAAAAGTGTACTGTCCTTCTATTCCTTTGTACAATCGCACAACACACTCTGGTTCGGTGTGCAAAACCAGTACCACAATAAACTTGGGACTTCACTAATCTGGTTAGCTCAATTTTATGGAGTATACTTCAATTGCAGTTGCTAAAATCCGTCAAAACATCGGACTATTTTTCAAAACCTTCACAATGCAAGATTAGATACCCGACCCTAAAAGTTGAAAACCCGACCACTGCTAGACTGTTCTGCACTGAACAAAGATAATGCAAGAGAACGTAATCGCTACTACCTGGAGAGATTGTAAAAATCGTTCACTAAGCGCCTAGTGGGATCAGCTTTTCAAATCTGTTACACACAGCGATGCAACTTGCAACCTAAACTTGTATGGCTAAGGAAGATGAAACTAAACATCTATCTCAGATACGATATCATACATGCCCATAGCCAAATTACACTATTTGATACAGCGATACCTTAACAAAGATAGAAAGAGCTGGAACTCAGGCAAATAAAATTTTATCTGACCGTTTAGACAAAGAGATGAAAAGTTACGTGAACTCAAATCATCCGAAATCTTCCGTGGAGATTCGCAGTTTGCTAAGTGCTAGAAAGGAAATTCATCTACCGCGACAAACGACACAGAAGTGAAATAAGAAAGCAATCTGGCAGACATCTGAGATGTTGTGTGATTAGCCGTCTTTATATTTTCGTTTCACCATTCTGTATTAAACACCTCGATTCCCGCCAACCGTTGGCCTCAAGAAGGCATTCTGGCCCGGGGCGCGGCAATACGAGGTGAAACCCCGACAAAAGCATTTACCATAACACGCAGGTGCCCTCAATGGTTGAACCACTCTGGGCACTCATCAGGAAACTGTTTTAGTTGTAAACTACTTAAACATACATTCTTTACGCTCCTCTTACACAACTTGATCGGACCAACCACCTGAACTGTCTCATACTATCGAGAAATAAACTACCTAATTGTTTGGTTATTCCGACGATGCTATTCCTTTCCCATTTACGTTTAAGTACTATTTTTTAGTGATGTTGGTAATATTACTGCCACTATCAGTAGTATGCTGGCAACTTGTGTCAAGGCAACTGAATCCGCCATAGTTCAGTGCATGGATAATAGCCGACAGATTTAGCTGAACTGGTAGCTACAGATGCAGCGTACCCGGTTTGGACAAAAGCCATATTATTAATCAAAAAGTCTAGGGAAATGCCACCCTATCCATGGATAATGAAAGAACAAAGGCATCAGGAAATCGGCACAAAAGAGTAGCTATTGTGTACTGATAGCCGAATCAATACGTCAATGTTCATCAATCCCGAAAAGGGTCACTCGAAGGTCACTGTTCCGTTTGTTTCAGTTGCCGACTGTGGTCCGGACGTATAGTTCTGACGGACTACATCGCCGAATCTTAAGTCACCATTAAAAAATAGGAACGAGGTAGGAAAGTGAACGTCAATAGTAGGCACAAACGTTATGACACACATGATCCGCTGAATTAGTTGGAAGAAGAAATTAAGATGAATAAGTCAGGGAGCAAAATCATCGACGTGACCAAGCAAGTAGACCACATCTAGGAAGAGGAAACGTAGTAACGTACTCTGGGCTAGATGTCAGACAGTAATCGAGGTGTTACAAGCGGTGAGTGATGAAATCAACTGAGGTAGTCGTAGATTCCGGTGCCCAAGGTAGACATTTGCATACTATCACAAAAATTAGTGGCCAAGTTTAGAACCTACGGAGCCGTCGTGAATATAATGCGGTGTCACATCCTGTCTGGGACAGACAGGCCGACGTTTAGCTGCCTTGAAGAGTGACTTTGGATCGAAAAGAGTCTTATGTCGTCCTAACACGACGCGCGGGCATTTCTTCAACAGTTTGTTCAGCGAGAGTGACACAACCACCCAGATAGGCAGCACAACTGTCGTTGCTGATGATGACAGGGCCAATGGTGGTACATGGTCAAATCCCATTTTCTAGAGGTACAACAACAAATCGAAACATCGGGTGAGTAAGAGCGGTACTGGGAGGTTGTGGACGAGATAACACCGTCAGACCAACTATCCAGAATCATGCGAATTTGTATACTCAATCTGCATGTCTGCATTCTCTTATATCGCTAACAACTTGCAAACGTGGTGCGCTTGCGAAAACCAAAGCATGCTATTCGGTTTGTTAGACGTGAATGCGTAAGTCCACGGCAGATTCAAAGCAGTGTGGACAGGTCATGAGAACAGTAGGACGTAGGAGAAAACCAAATGACCAGGAAACATCAATAAAGTGGACATAGCACGTACTATTTAGAAATTCGGCTCCGGAAGGAGAGTTGAAGACTTCCGCCTGCCCAGAACAAACGGAGGCAGTTAAACGCAGAGTAGAGACAACACACGGTCTCTGATTCACATAGACGCACCGATCAATGACTGTTTCCAAAGAAGAGAGCACACCCATGGTATGTAGCAACTTTCGGTGTGAAAAGTTAATGTCACTTTGTTCGCGTAAATTCTCCACGACGCTGTTGATGCGTGAGTAATCCGGTGAATCTGCTTCGAGAAGATCGCACAACTCTTTAAGTGAGATGGTGCACGGATGACCGTTTTTGTATTTAACCATGTCTTTGACAATATTTGATAGATCGACTCCCTTTAGAGAATGAAAATCGGCCAAACGATCGTCCAACCTCCAATGTAAAAGACTGAGCCGTCTCCTCAATAGCTTCATCTTCATTCAAATCAAGCAACTCCATATTCGAAACTACTGTTTCGTCGAAAAACTGTTGCGATATTTGTTTCATTTCTACGTGTGGACAAAGTGTTGTACTTCGGAAGATTTGTCAGACAAACAAGGAAACCTATTCCGATCGTACAGGAAGACGCTAAAAAGAACGGCAAAAATTGCTGTTGGTTAAACAATCAAAGGACAAATAATGCAGACTCCGGAAACAAACTGTATGGTATGCTGAAATATGACAATAAACGGTGGTAGCCAAAAGATGACTGAATAAGTGGCGAATGGTATCAAAGAGATTGTGGATTACATCAGTTGACAATGCAGACAATCGAGTGTTGCAGCTCAAAATTTTCAAGAAGCATGCCTTATCACATTTAATGAAACAAGCTAGTTCTTCTCTGGATAAACTCGCTAAACAACATTAAGTGTTCATCGCTGGAAAATCAACGAGCCAAGTGATGTTAAAATTGGAGGAAGCATAAAATGATCGGAATCAATAAAATATATGGAAAGTATGTACTACCAGACGAGTAGGTGAGCTAACAGTGCCTTCCAACATTAAGTGACCACAGTTCTCGTGAAGCTTTACCCAAGACGTCTCAATATCCAAACAAAGCGGCGATCTCAAATAGAATGGTAACTTTAGCTACCACTGATAAAAGAAGCGAACGAACTGAGTGATGGCAACAATCTCAGCAGAAGCCCGGATAGCGGTTTCAGGTAGATCGAATGCAGGGAAGCCATTAATTTGCAGAGTAAAAAGCTCACTGTTAGTCTAGCTAATAAAAACCACCGATGAACGTGTATCGATGATAAAGAAAAAGTGTAGCACACAATGAGATCGCGCGTTACGAACGAGACGGGTACAACAAAAGGCGGTGCTCGATTTAAACAGTCAAACTCAACATGGGGTCCAAGATTCCCTACCGATCACCCAAATACACAAGGAAATAGTAATTTTAATTAGAATGTTACATAACGGAAACAGGCAAACCTGTGAGATTCCCAGGTTGCTACATAGTCCTCGCTCTCTATATGAAAGCTACCCGTCGCCAGCAAGCCTCCTGCGAGACCAAGCCGCGACATCGATTCAATGAGCCTTGTAGTGGTGTGAACTGCGCCCGATGTAGCTGCTGGGAGAGCACTAAGGCGAACGGATCCTAACGGGCTCCCACTCGTGTCCTACTTTTGGGGTCGAGAGGGAAAAACAGCGTTTGTGGGAGGAACAGTTCGTAGAAGTCTAAGGAACCGGTTGGGCGAAAACTCTGTTGTACTTCGAGTAAGGTGCGGAGATCCAGTGAAACGCGCAACAAAGGAATAATCAACCGCCGGTGTGTATATGAAAAGCGAAACGGAGAAGAGCGTGAACGCACAACTATACACAAAACGGTGTGAAGAGAAAAACGTACGAGGCTGTTTAGGTTTGCAAAAGTAGTAGTAGGTCCAAAACATTTGTCCTTTTTTTGGTTTCGAAAATCGGGACAGTATATGCTCTACGGAAAATAACAGACACTGCCAGTTTGAAAAACGAACGGCGAGTTTGATTTCCCTAAGATATCGGTTGTTAATGGGTCAACTAGGAGTTAACTCGGTTGTGGCCTTAGGATCCGCTGGAGCAGAATGACTGGTCTGTTGTGATGCAAGCCGTGATGACGCAGGCCGATGTGCTTGTTGCACCAGAGAGCCAGAACTATTACGCTGAAGCTTGTCTATGTCGAGATTAGCTTGTTGGACTGCAGCCATGGCGGCCATATGAATGTTGGTTCCGGTGCTAAGCTGAAGTAGCGGATTCGAGAAGCAGCATCTGCGACGGAATTAAGACTATCTGAGACATGTCGGAGGTCTGTCTTGACCTGATACGTAGTCTAGGTTCCCAGTTTTCAGCGGAAAATACTTGTTCGCTGTGCCATTGATTCATCATCATCATCATCATCATCAGACACGTTAGCTAGAGGTAGGAAACACCTCAGCTACTGTGCCGCAATATATAAAGGAAAAGGAAAATAAATACAACAGTTGCATGCCAGCTGAGCTACCAGCAACGGATAGGCATCGTTCCGGTAAGCTACCAGCCGGCTACTAGGGGTAAAGAAAAATTTTTACGTAAAATTATATTACGCTACGAAATGAGATCGCAAGTGGAGGGGGAGGCTAAAAGGGATAAGGAGAGACAAAGAAATTCACAGCAGAAACGTCACTGAGGTCGGCTCCTTGCCATGTCAGCAAGTGTATCCAGCCAAACGTGTTCATCGTCTTTTAGATCCCAACTAGGGAGCCGTGAAGCTACAACTGAGGCCAGCTCCGAAGTGATGGCCTTCATTCCTCTAGACCAAGTCATCGCTTGGCCACCCCTCCTCTTCTTCCATCCACATCCCCGGTGAGCAAACAACGCACGTCGAGGGAGTCGGTGGGCTGGCATGTGCAACACCTGGCCCAACCATCGGAGCCTGGTGCGTGAAATGACGGTGCTGAGCGGTGCAGTTTCTTTTCCTGTGCCGTAAACAATGCGTCGAACACGCTCGTTACTCACGCGGTGTTCCCACCAGATGTGAGCCAAACTGCGAAGGCACCGATGGTCGAACGTAACTAGCCTCTACATGTCCGCCGATCTTAGGGGCCAGGTTTCGCAACTGTACAGTAAGGTCAAACGTACCGCTGCGTTGTACACTCTACCCTTTAGGGCAAGAGTAATGTCGCGCCTCCGTCAAAGGTGGCGAAGACTAGCAAAAGCACCCCGAGCTTTTGATATACGGTTCGTAATCTTTTCTTCAATCACAAGGTCGCTGATACAACTTCCCAGGTAGTTGAATTTTTGAACGACTTCTAGCAGATCGCCACCAAGGGTCCGCGCAGATCGAGATCCCTGCCTACCTTGGAGGAACACTTTACAGTTCGATGGTGCAAGGCATAGCCCGAAGCGGCTGACAGCCAGTGCTAATCTGTCCAACGCCGCTTGGCACGTCTGGGAGCTGTCACAGATGAGGCAATGTCGTTTGCATACTCCAAGTCAAGAAGTCGTTCACCTAGGAGTAGCTCCACACCCTCTAAGTCATGTCTTGTAAATGCAATCTCCATGACTTCGTCAATAGCGAAGTTGAAGAGGAAAGGTGACAACGTGCAGCCTTATCTCACACAGCTGGAGATATTGAAGGGTGGCGACAGCTTTCCGTAAGCCCCCACATTACCCGTGCTACACGCGTATAATGCTCGGATAATATTTACTTATATCTCGGGCACACTTTTCCTGAGTAGACAATTCCAAAGGGCACATCGATCAACCGAACCGAAGGCACCTTTGATGTCGATGAACACGACTACGGTGGGCCGCCAATATATGTGACGGTGCTCCAACAACTGACGCAAGGTGAAGATGTGGTCGATGTAGCCACGACCCCGACGAAACCCGGCTTGCTCTCCACGAATATGGCTTTCACAAGTACCAGTCTGGAGGCGAGTAATTTGGTGGCGATGGAGATCAGATTGATTCCTCTATGGTTACCGCATTTCGAACACGAGCCTCCTTTGAAGATGGGAACAATAACGGAGCGGCTCCAGTCGGTTGGGACAGTCTCCTGCTCCCACAGTTTCACAAGTAATTCATGTAAATCATCAACAAGAGCAGAGCCTCCGAATTGGAAGAGAGCTGGATGAACATCATCTGGTCTCGCGGCTTTGTTCAACTTCAACAGTCCGATCTCACGCTTGACTTCTGAGCGAGAGGGTGGATCCAAAGAGACAGCCCACGGAGCAAGGCGATCACTGGCCGGCGAAGGATCGAACAATTCTGGCCGATTAAATTGCTTTTCAAAATGCTCATCCCAACGCTGCAAACGCTTTGACAAATTGTGGATAGGCTGTCCACTCTTGTCACGTATAGTTTCACTAACACCAGGTCACCTGCTGTCCGTTTCCCGTATCAAACGGAATAACTTACCATGGTTACCAAGGGCAGCGGCCATTTCCATCTCTGACGCACGAAGAGACCACCAAGATTCGCGGTCTCTCTTCAGGCTAGCACGGAGTCTTGCCCGGAGCTCTTTGCGAGTTTCATTGTGTTCGCTTCCAGCCGGAATATGCCGGCGAGCATCGATAAATTCCAGAGACCGAGAAGAGAACCAATGTCCATGTTGGCTATCTGACTTAACACATGAGGATTTGCCTGCTGCTAGTAAGGTCTAGTGAACATGTGACCAGTGACCTTCAATTGTCTCCAGTAAGCGCTTACTCAACTCACGTATCAGCGTACTTCGATACGCATTCAGAACAGCTGGCTTTGTCACTTGGCTGGTGTCAACGCGCTCACAGCTTCGTCGTCGGCGCCCGCCAAAACGCATCCGCATGTCAGCACATAAAAGTGCATGGTCGGTGTCCATACATGTGTTGCAAATTGAGCAACAGTTCTGGATGCAGCCTCTCCAGCGGTAACTGATTGCAATGTGATCGATTTGCGTCCACAGCTGGTTCGAGGCTCGGGGGCGCCAAGTCACCCTCCGGCAAGTGCTGTATCGGAAATTAGTGTTCGCAAGAAATAAGCGGGCATCTTCACACAAATAAAGTAACCACTCACCCTTATCATAACGAAAGCCTACACCGTGCTGACCGCCAAGATGCATTTCATCAGTGGATAATTTTCCAACTTGAGCGTTCAGATCCCCCGCCAGCACAACAGTGTCCGTGCTTCTACTGTGACGAAGGAGCTGGGTCAGTTGGCGGTAGAAGTGGTTCTTTACCGAATCATCGTTACAGTTTGAGGGCGTGTAGGCAGCGATGATGAATAGACAGCTAGTAGTCCCGCGCGATTTCGAGGCTTTGAAGGAGCCAGCCAATCGGACCACACACATCCGGATACTGATCGGAATCCAATCAACTAGAGCAGCTTCAGTCCTGGGACTCAGGGCAATACCAACACCGGCTTGCCCGGTGCTCGAAGCTGCATCGTCACCGGATAGGCGCAATGAGAAAATACTGCTGGTTTCAACTGAAGGGGATTGCAGAGTGAGCACAGAGCTCGAGTCTTGCAGGCGGATCTCCGATAAGCAGCAGATATCGATCGAGAGGGTCTCTAATGTTCGGGCAAGTGCTGCCTGTTGACCGATCTGCAGCAATGTGCGTACATTGAGGCATGACAATCTGAAGGAGGATCGAG